GGGGAGGCTATTTCTGAGAATGATATGCACACGGAGATAATCGTTAGCTTCGGTCCAACACGCCGGGGACCAAGAGTGTAAACGACTGAGGCTTGCATACGTCACCGTAACTACAACTGAGGCAGAATGAGTGACAAGCGATTTCAGCGGTAATTGGTAGTGAGTAGATAAGAGAATGTGCGTAGAGTATCATGAGGTGCTGCTATGGTCACGTTGCGTTCTGCAAGAGTCATTCTAGTAAGTGGAGACTGTGTTACACGATGTCAAGAGGAGGTCACTATCTGGAGGCGCAGGTCGTCATTGATGTGTGAGATTGTGCTGTGGGTATGCTTGTGGTGTGTTGGCTTCTCTGTTTGTTTTCCATTTCACTTCTGTCCGTGTGACCCAGGTTCTCGGAACGGCATCCAAGCCAACGTGTATTAGTCGTGATGGAAAAAAGGGATGGATCCCTTTTTTGCCGGAGAGTGTCAATGTAGTTGAAGATTGAACGATCAATTCATGGTTGTTTGCTCAAACCCATCTCCTCCATATTTTTCGCTGAAGTCATCGTTAATTCAGTCATCATTAGTGCACTCATCGCCTCATCGTTCGCAGCTCGGTGGAAGACAGAAAACTATCGGAAGTATTATTGTGATTTATTGTTATGACATTTTTTCTTAGACTTTGTTTACATTTAACTAATGGTACGCTCTCTCTATATGCAGGAATAAAGTGTTCTTGTATCACCAATTTGTGTTCTGTTTTTTGAGTTGATTTTGACGCCTAGTTTCTGGTAGTCTTCCAGGGACAGCGTGAGTTCCAGCGTAGCAAGTGCTTGCCATTGACAGTTTATGAGTCTTGGCTTACGCTTGATTTGATGACTCCGCATTGCATCAGGGCCTCCACAAACGTTGTTGACGTCATGAATTCTACGCCTTCGGTGTGCTTGTGGTTGTCTTCTGGGTGGCATAATCGGATCACTGACTCTTCCATTGAATGTTTTGGGAGTCCACTTCCATTCCATCTGCTTTCACCTTTTCCCAGTACTTGGAAACTATATTTCTTCATCTCACTTTCAATCTGGGTAGCTTTCGCAGTCTCAAACATAGTGCAGACGTTCCATGTTCCCACTCATGCCTCTTTTTCCGTGGCAATGAGACTCATCGCACTGAATTTCTGCGGCAGTTTTCTCCACAGGGTGAGGTTACTAGTCTCACGCCCGAGGGAGAATTTGTTACATAGCTATGTAAGTTATGGTGGAGAGACCTTTTGGGTTGCTACGTTTAGAATCACGAAAATAAGAAGTAAAGCAATCCCAACAAAAAAATCACAATAGGAGAGGCGACAACAACAAAACCGTAGCAAAATTACCACAGTCTGATATAGTTACCGCAAGTAATAAGTAAACTAGAGACTCATCGACTTAGGCCGACTTGGGCATGTGAATAAAATAGTAAACGTAGTCATACATATCAGTTAGTCATAGGTATCCGCCCAATATGTTCAAGTCACGAATTGGGAGACAGTTATAGATGGTGATAGTCAGCAAGGTCATATCCACAGGATCGGTGTTCGAAAGTAAGCCGGTTTACAATAAATTACACTACTTCCTGGCCAAAAACAACAGAGAAATGAGATTTTCGTGTAGCTAAGCAAATGTGATTACCTCGTAACTAAATGTTTATACTACAGTTATTTGATAATTCTTGTTGAATAGAACAATAAATTTTGTAATTCCCTCAACAGTTTCGGTTTCATTGCAAATCTCTCTGGAACGATTTTGTTTTGTATCGCATTTCGGTTTGAGATATGAGCCAGTTTCTTCAGAGTATCACTGGCATTGTTCCTGTTATAAGATGTACGAACCCCTTACCGAATACTGAGGAGTTTAGTTTCTGCTGCATATGTGAGACACAGCATCGGTGTCTGAGCCTCGCGATCCAGGGAAGGCGGTGAAAGTAGAATGAAAAAGTGAGTTGTTGTGCCTATGGAAACCGCTGAATCTTCTTTTTCCCAGGCATATTGCAGGCCAGCAAGTTCGCAAGATTAGGAAAGGTGCCGGCCGGAGGTCGAACCCAGTCTTTCAGAGTGGTAAGTGTGCACTCTACCATTCATTTGCCGGTGCAACACTTTCCAAACGTATACAAATATGTTTAGGAATTGTTGTTTCTCATTGACTCTCTCAATAAATACACTCATATCAGTGCTGATAGGCTCATTGCATTTATCTGGCTTGATCAGAAGCTAGATAACCCAAAATGACATTTTTGCTTTCTGTGTGCTTGCTACAAAATAATTCTCTTGGTGCTTCATACAAAAGATATTGCATTGTGGGTGCTTCCTGGTATTTGCAGACGCATCAACTGACTTTACGTTGTTAATACACAGAAAAGCGGACATGCCACTGGTGATTCCGGTGAACGCTATAGGTAAGGGGCACAATGATATGAAACTTCGAGCTGACAGCTTTTAAGTCGCAACTCACTTTGATGCCTAGATCAGTATAAGTCCGAATTGGTGGAAGCACTACATCCTCTGGTTCATATAAGCTGACTCTTGCGTGTCCAATGCGCATAACCACACACTCTTTAGACCAGTCTAACAATTTGTTGAGGCTTTACAATGGAATCATGTCATTATCTCCCTTTACCTCTCCCCTAGATGTTTAAGTCATTACTGTAGGAGGTCCAGTGAGCCCGACCACTCGTTGATATACATGATGAACAATAGCTACGTCTCGCAGCACTGCACTGTGTAGTGCTGTCTAGGGGAAGAGTACTGAGTTGACCACGTCCCTGTATCTCCTACCTGAGAGGAATTTCCTAATCCAGAGTAGTCAGCTGTCTTCGACTTCAAGACTTTTCATATTCATGGGCAGTCACGTGCTGAATACTTTGACTACGACTGTGCTGAAGTCTTTGTTAACATCGTCGACGGGTCTTATATGATTCCTTCGCTTGATCCGACTTTCTATTGTCGTGAGGTTTGTAGAGCACAAGAGTTATCCCCCAACGCTGTACTTAGTCCTGGACAAAAAGCTGTTGCTTTCAAGATGTCCCATGGTGGCTTCGTGGGCGATTCTTTCCAGCATCTTAATCAAGGTGCAGATGAAAGTAGTGGACCTGTAGTTTGAAATATAATGTATTGGTCCTCCTCTGGGCGTGAAGATCACTATGGCATCTTTCCACTTACATGGCAGCACCCAATTCACACTCCAAGACACTAATCCGTGAACTTACAGCTCCTTGAAAAGCCGTGAGTGAAGGTCATCAGGTCCAACTGACCTCGTTGCATCTAGTTTCTTTACAGAATGTAATACAATGTCCTGGTCAGTTTCGACGAAATATAACTTGTATTCCTACGATGAGACAGGAGTTAACATTATGAAGGGTGACGATCCCTGTGACAAGACTTCTCAGAGGTCTCCTGAAATCTCTTCTGCTTTTCCTTGCCTTCTAAGATAGTGTCGTTTTCACCAGCCAGGTCCGGGATCTGCTGGATTTCCCAGTCGGGCGGTTCCTGTATAGAAATTTTTTATGTTGTTCCATTGCATCCTGGGCAAATACAAATTTGGTCGATGAATTCTTACAGCAGTTTTGTTTTCGGCTATGGTGTACAAATACATGGTTTAGAAATCCCGAATAATAACGTCGTGCAGCAATTATATTATGCTCGAACAACCCACGAATCTCCCGGTTTGTCCCTCGAGGACAATTTTTCAAGGACTGAGCTGGTCGGTTGAATTGTCTCGATTCAGCTCCCACCTGGGACTTTGGATTTATTTGCAAGTCCTGCAGTGGAGGTACTGAGACAGTGGCTTTTACGCCGGCTTCCTAGACGTCTTATCAAGCTGGGGTCTCAGCCCGGGACACTGCTGTTTCTGTGAACTTGGAAGCAACCACAGCGTCATCACGTCTTTCTGGGTGTGGAAGTTGTACAAAGTTAACATCCACGCTGTGGGAGGGAACCAGGTTCATGTTTCGTGAGTGCTGTGCGTCATAGCGCATAGATTTAGTGAAATGTACTGCTGCCAGTTAAATAAAGGGGATGCCTGTAGAAGGCGTTGTAAGGCTCGTCCAGTCAGCGGGTGGGGAGTTGAAGTGGCTGACTGTCACGGTGAGATGAATGGATGTTCATGAGCAAAGTTTCTCTATCATTATTGTAATTATTAAGAAGTCTGCATTGCAGTCGGAACTGTGATGTATTTTTATTAAGTCGATGTCTTGTCGATTGCAGTTTAGTCTGCAGTCAAGAATTTCTTATGATACGCTTTCGCATGCAAGAGCTTCAATGATGCGCAAGCATCCCTCTTGCCGTCCGGTCGGTTTGCCCTCTGTACTGTGAGCGTTAGGAGGTTAACTCCATTGTTACTGATATTGGGTGTAAGCTATAATTCCGTAGTGGCGATGATATCCAAACTTTTAGAATCCATCACACGGATCAACTCAGTCCAACTGTTCAACAGACTGTGGGCATTAGTGTGACACACCATTTACTAAGTTTGGTGCTTCCCAGATTCACTCAAAGAGGTTTTGAAGTCAATGGGCTTCGAACTTTTACTACTCGAGACCTAATTCATAAGGTTATACTTAGTATTGGGGCACCTTTCGTGTAACTCCAGTGCCGCAGAATATATTTAGATGCCGTCTACTAGGCAAAAGTCAACTCAGATGTAAGTGCCTGATATATTTGAGTTTGAAAGTGTAAAATTGCATCCCTCTCAGTATTTGAGCCGAATACAGTTTTGAGTAGACTCACTGACTGGTTTCCCCAACCATTGCATGGATTCGTCGTGATGAAATTTCCAGAGTTTACGTTAGCTATGGCTACCATTTCTTTGACTGGAAGTCAGCTAAGATTCTACATGATCAATGAATTGAAGTACTACCAAAGTATGACAATTCAGTCCCTATAGGTGCAAGATACACTCCACCAGAATATCTTAGAACGCCAGTTTATGACAGTATTATTTCCAATGACGAAAAAATATGTAAGAGGGAAGAGTATTAAAACTGTTGGACATTGCATTGACTAGGTCACACAATGGCGCTCTCGAAAGTGACGGGTAGGATAACGAAGCTAGTGGATTGCGGTTCAAGTATGTTAAGTATTTATTTTGACGTCTGCAGAGGCATCTGCTTTTGTGATAAAAGAAGCAACACCTAGATTAAATAAGTTCAAGGAGTATGCACGGGTAGAATTAAGACCACCTACACGTGCCGATATAAAGCCAGCGATGGAACAAGCCAACAAGATATTTACTGCTGCAAAAAGCGGTGCTTGGAAAAATGTTACTGTCAAGGTATGCACTAGATTAATGGAAACTATTCTTTAGGAGGGGTTTATTAATGCTTTAGTGACAGCAGAAGTGTTATGTTGGTTTTTCATCGGTGAAATGATTGGTCGAAGAAGCTTCCTTGGTTATAGTCGTGTGCCAGGTGCATACTTGAAACACCATTAATCGTTCAACTTAGTAGCACTTTTGTTAATCGCATATTGTGTAGATATTACAGAACTTAAAAATATAAAACAGCAGACTCGTTATGCACCAATTTTTCTTGCTTAGATTCCAATCCGAGGTTACAGCATTGATAACGCATTCCTGTTCACATATGTAATCAAAGTGATGATGATTATAATGTGTGAGATACGCAGTTATGTTGCGTTGCCGGCTTCTGACTGATGACACTATAATGATGGACGATTCATACAATCATTTGGATATTGGGGCATTTAAGACGCATCCGCGCTGTCATACATAGGTCAACAGTCGCTCACCCAGGCGTTTGGAAAGCGAAAATACCTGCTGTCCTAAATGCAGAAACACTAGCTGACTGGTCTGTTAATACACCCCAGACTGTCGGGGAGGCTTGGATGGGATTTAGGGATACACTAGATGGCGTAACTACACTCTTTGTACCTTGGTCTACGTCTCAAAAACTATCGCATAGACCACCTTAGATTAGTAGTGAAATAAGGAAGTTATTAAACAAGCTAAAGAACTTATAGGACCGGTTTGCTGTGACTGGAAGCGAAGAGTTTTGTATGGAATACCGAAAAATTCGAAACCTGTGTAAATACATGATTAACAAAAGTCGTATATAGTATGAGAGACTGGATTGTGTGCATTATCCAAAAAGACTGTACTCGTATGTCAAACACAGGACTAAAACTAACAGTAGTTTACCGTCCCTCAATAGCCACACTGGAGAGGGAGACGAAACAAAGCTGAAAAGCTCTCCGAGTACTTTCGCAATGTTTTCTCTCCTAATCGTACCACTTAGGGGTGTAGCGAGGTCACTGATGTAGCCACTAAAATGCTCACAATCGTGGTAGAGGATTCAGTGGTTCTGAAACTACTGTCTAAGTCGAAGCCAGGTAAATCACCTGGATCTGATGGACTTCACCCTAGATTGCTAATCTCCTTGGCGGAGATTTTTCACATATCTCTGACTCATGCTAGGCTACCCAGGGACGGGAAGGATGCTTTTATAAGTCCCATCTTCAAAGATGGGAACAGGCTTATAAGTCTGACCTGCATTATAGCAAAGGTGTTAGAAAAACTCATAAGGGATCAGCTCTTAGCTCACATGAAAACAACATGGCTTACTGCCAGTAGAACAGCAACGATTCCGGCCAGGACGATTCCGCTTGACAAACTTAGTGCTAGCTAGGGAAGATTGGATCAAGACCAGGGATAAGAACCATCTACTGGACGGTGTCTTTATCGATCTTCGTATAGCATTCGACAAGGTATCCCATTTAGGTCTTCTTAGTAAACTTAAACGTTTTGGATTAGACCAACGCTTATGTGAGTGGTTTAGCGACTACCTGATGGCTAAAGGTAAGGGTTCATGGTGTACTGTCAGGCTGGAAAGCAGTACTAACTGGAGTACCTCAGGGAACTGTAATTGGCCCCCTGCTATTCCTATTATACATAAATGAATTTACGAAAATTCTTACTTGATCTTCCTTACTATTTGCGGACGATATTAAGATATGGAAAACCGTAAATAGTAACGATGATAGGTTGGTACTACAAAACGATCTAGATAAATTAGGTGAATGGGCTAACTTTTGGTGTCCGGAAATTAATTCCAAGAAAAGCACGATAATGTACCCAGGTCAGAAGTTCTACACGTCGTACTCCCTCGGGGACACGGAACTGCCAGATGTTAGGCGACGAAAGGACCTAGGAATTATTGTAAGCCACAACTTAAAAACAACGGGAAATTGTAATCGAGCTGCAGCTAAGGCTTTTCGAATGCTATAGACACTTCGAAGGGTTTTCAAACGCTTAGACGAGGGTATGTTCCAAGTACTTTATGCAACATATGTCAGACCTCATCTAGAACACTGCATACAAGCGAGGAGTCCATGCTTCAAAAATAAGGCACATATCCTGGAAAGAATACAGAGGGTAGGAACGAAATTAGTTAGTGGTATCTCACACCTTCCTTATGATATGAGGATGGAGCATTTAAATCTCTTCCCATTATCATACCGAAGGAAGAGATGCGACTTAATTTTGGCTCACCGCATATTAAAGGGTGATTTAGCGATTGACCTTCCTAAACTTTTCTCTTCCTCTAGGATACATTTACGAGGTCATCACAAGGAGGTGCTCAAACTGAGGTCAAATAAAACGTGTGGAATTTAGATTCTCTCACAAAGTGGTCAACGACTGGAACTCCTTACCTGATACAGTAGCATCAGCTCCATCGGTTTCAAAGAGAAACGGAATCTCTGCAGAGATGTATATCGTGTGGATTAACATAGGCAACAAGAGCCTTCTATCCTTATAATCTGAATCTGTTATTACGCTTCATGTCACGTGTATTACTGTTTTGACCCTCCGCGAATCACTGAAAACATTTGAAAGTGTCTATAACACCATTTTCTCAGTCACTTGGATATCTTGTAAAAGAATCATCAGTTATCCGACTGTTGTATAAATCCCGATCACCTAATGCGCTATATCCAACACTAGGAACAAGACAATAGAATCTCAGTAAGGCAAAGACAGTTAGACATATTAACAGAGCTGTATACGGAAAAGTTGCAATATGATGCAGGGATTTGCTGATTCACACATCTTGAATATTCCCACTAGTTTTCACGTGACTATTTTTTATCGTACAGTTTGGCTTGATTACATTTACTCCCTCTACTCTTGTATGCTCTTCCTGAGTATAGTAACGTTAGCCGACGGACATTTGTGGAAAATTTTGCGTTAATATACGAATTCGTTGTCGAAGCACTTATTGCTCTTGAGGTGTACATAAACAATAACAGTATCGTGAAGTTTTATTCAGTGGTTGATTATACAAGCAAAAGAATTTAAAGCTTTGCAAGATCGGTATATGGTTGAGACAAGACGTGCATGCACAGATGATTGTGAATGCATGACATAGAATTTATTGGTAAACACAGGTCTGTCTTAGTCCTCATCAACTTAGGATGGAACAGTCTTATTTCTGTGTACTTGATGCAGGGGAAGTATTATTTAATTAGATTCAACTGGTGTGTAGATTATACTCAAATGGTTTATTTATTCCTTCCGGTTGCACATAAGACGGTAGCTTTTAGTAAACAACCCGCTTGCTAGTGTGGGTCTGCAGGGATTTGATCACGAGCTTAAATCAGTCCAGTACTCCCTGTTTTCGAGTGGTTCAGCTCCTGGTCGAACCAATTTCCTTTCTAAATTGGATTAACAAGCACCTGTTTCCTAAGTTTGAACAACAAACATCAGATTCACACTACGCAGTCCTGCACCTAATAAATATGATACAAGCCATTAGTAGACGGAAAATTGGTGTTGTAAATATGTGAACGTTTTAATTGCAAAGCACAAGTCAGTTGCTACCGTTTCAACAGAACTAATTATGACAATGTATAAATTGAAGTTTGCTAGTTGGATCAAGATATCACATTTCAGGTGATTTACCATTGCTTTTGATTCTATCAATAACGTAGAAATATTCATGTTTTTTGTGAAAGAAAGCCACCTGCATAGTGTGATTAGCGAGTGAACCGTGTAAACACTAAGCACTTTAATCAAGGAACTGATACCATTAGGAGAACCACTGATAAAAGGAAGCACAGAACAACTGTCTCGTTCAGGTTTGGGGTTTTTCATCAGTGCACACCTTTAATTCCACCAAGGGTGAGACCATGGAGCTTCATTTGTTGACCATGTAGACACCGGGGTGCAGTCCAGTGTTAATGTAATTCTAACATCCACCAACTTGGGATACACAGTACCAACCAGTGTTATAGCCAAGTGTGTCTTTACACCGGAGTTGGTGAACCACACTAACAATTTCTCACTAGAATTTTGTCACGCAGTCAGTCACTAGTGAGCATTAAACAAATCTGAGTCCGAAAAACTAGGGTCTTTATCCTTAATTCCTCTTTTTTGAATTCTTTTTGAATTCTCCTGACTTTTTTGTTGTTCTAGTGAAAAGTCCTCTAACTGGTAACGTTGTCATTTTTCCGCGTCATTAATCATGAATGCATTTACAATAAGTCGAGTTACTTCACACTGCAAAATTTTGCGGATAGCACTTCGGTGTATTTTAAACCTAACAGTTTCCAGGTGCACCAAGTTATCAACAACTATGTGCAAATATATGAACTAGCCGTTGGATGGCAATTAGTCTGACTGCTTGATGGTAATACTAGGGAAAGTTCTCAACTAAGTATTCAACGCGGATACTTAGATAATTCGTGAAGTTAAGGCACAAGAAGCCCGTGGTGCATAGTGAATATGTCTGATTTTAATTTACAATGCAAAAACTGACGTGTCTGCTCTTCTTGAAAGTGTTTTGGGTACCTTGACCCAATTACTTGTATTTTGCATGGAATCCCGTCCCACTAAGTGAAGTCCTAGTATATCGAATTATGTTGGTATTAGCAAGTATGCTTATCGAGTCGAAATATAACAGGGAGCCAATGACGCCACTCTTATTGTTTGAGTAACTTGCAATTTTAATGGATGTTGTCAAGATGCATATTTTTCTAGTTCCCCTGTAATTAGTTAGATGTTTTGTATAGTGTTATAACCTGAATACTTGGCTTGATAACTATACTGACTCCTGTAAGGCAACCAATCTAGTTGCTTTCCTCAGGAACGCAGACAAAGTGTTCACTGGTGTTCCTCAGTAATTGATTTTAAACTTTTGAGAAACTGGTATGTTTGTTGGATCCACACACACTAATGTTCTTAGGGATTGAAAGAGGTCTGAATACCTACCAGTTACACTCTTAGTAGTGTGGGTTAGTGCCGAATTAAATCCGGAATCCATCTTTATTAAGCCTTTGTTAATAGTACTGTTAAAGCGTGTTTATTTCCATGCGTCTATCTGGACGTAGTTTTTGAGTTAACGGCACCGAAGAACTTGATAAGCAGTCCAACCAGTCTACATGCATACTTCGTTTATTATTCAGTATTTCATTCGATAAAAAGAATGTTAATCCGTCAGTTTCCAGCGAAGTTATGAAGACTCCCCTGTTGTAACAATGCAGACCAGTAGATCCCAACAGTTCGCCCTCAGTATTAAATAATTTTGGTGATTGATTATTGACTGAATAAACAAACTCGGTGGCTTTTGTGTCACGCAGTTCCACCAGACAAGTTTAGGTTGACGGGATATCTAGTGCCAAGTCTTCCGGTGATAAACGGAAGAGGACCACCTTGATAATACTATACGACTCGAGGATCCGCAGTCACTCAGAAGTTAGCTATAACCCCAGAGGTTGTATTTTATATAAAACCAACTTGGTATATTATGGGCCCGAAAAGCTGCACCACACAAAAATATGTAAAGAAAATAAACAGAATGAGTGAGGGGCGTCATCCAGAAAGCAAGGAAAATCTTTCATCACTTCGTGCTTCTTTCAGAAAGGAGGAAACCGCAGTATGTTCGTCGATGATTGCGATTCTTAGCAATATCTGATAACGCTTCGAGCCAGCGATTCGAACTATCTGTCAAACCCCAACCAGGGAGTCATAATGTACCGACACATGCTAACGTAACACAAGTATCCCTTATCTCACAGCTCCACGTCGTAGACTGACCACTTCCTCCCGTTTTACATCCACTCCCACGGCTAGCGAAAGGTCTCCAAGATGATATTCGTAGCACATATCAGAGCCACCAAAGCCGATTTTTCAATATGACTACACTTAACGAATGGTGACCGCCACGGTATCCGAATGCTCTGCCAGGTATCAGAATTACTCACACGATGATTCCATCGGACGCAGGAAATTTGACGGAGACAGCCATAATTGAATACTCAGAGTTTCTCCATATCCTCACTTCGGAGAAGTCAAGTTTCACAAGTGTAGAGCGAGAATGTGCCCACCAAAGCATTGCAAACCCGACCATTAACAGCCAGGCTGGTGTGGCGACGGCGTCAGAGGTGGCCCGAATTGGTGCAGCCAACCTAGCGTTCACTACACGCTCAGGTGTTTCATCCTTCACATATCCTCCAGTGCTCACATGATTACGTAGGCACACGACCTTGTAGACAACTTCAAGCGGTTCCCCTGTAAGGGTAGGTTGAGACTGCTGTTAATCTTGCAACAGTACTTTGCACTAAGACGGTGCGAGGCTCATACCATACTCACAGACACTGATCACTAACTAACTAAGTACGAGTTGAACAGCTTGCATGCTCTCACTCAGTAAAACGAAATCGGTTGTATACCCGAGGTCGAAAAGTCTTGCAAGAAGCAGATCTAGACCACTACCACGCATGTCCTTCAAAGTTGACTCCAAAATATCTCCTACAGAAAAGTAGAGATTAGGCTGGTGGTTGTGAACAGTGATGATAGCTTGAAGTTCCTTTCGAACCTCTTCGTTTTGTGAGTTGGTATTAACCGACCATGGAATATTATAGTCAGTGATACTGACACTAATGGCCAACTGAACAGCCTTTTGAAGTGCACTGCCCAACGTTCCAAACATCTTTTCAGGTTGGTAATTGGTGTACCATCTCGCTGACACCATGCTTCTTGGTCTCAGTAGCTCAGATGGACTGGAACACCGCCCGGCTGTTCGATCTTGCGCGTGTTATGATCGCTTTCTGCCGGAAAGGACCGGTGCACAAACAGGAGTCGTGAGGAATTCGAGGGAACAGTATTTTCTAGTAGGGCATTAAGTCGCAAACGGCTTTACTCATCACTTAACGTTGCACAGGCGTAGGTAATGTTCGTCTTTGTTACTGGAAGGATTGCTACTTGGGTGCAGGTCTCCGAAATGCAGCATACATCGACAGCAAGGGTTTCTAGTGGGACCTACCTGTCGTTCGATTTGCTTTAGTGTGTTAACACTGTAGGTGAGAAGCCTGATCACGGCACGCGGTCTCAGGATATCTGTGTCATATACCGAAATAGAGATCAGCATTTTAAAGGCTACTCACTAACAACTCAGAACGGCACAGATAGGCTGAGATTACAAACAAAGGCGAAAGGCTCACGAAAGTAAAGTCACCAAAGATAGTAAAGCGGGTAGAAATTAAACACAAAAGTCTGTGTGTAGGAATAAAGTCAAAAGGAACGTTACTAAAAACGTGATTGTAGAATGACTAGAGACAGCAATTAGGATGGACTTACTGGACGTTTGTCATTGAAAGCTGTTTGGACAGGAGAAACGGTTAACTGATAAATATATAACACTTGATGTTTTCGCATACATCATACCGGTTTCCTGATGCATGTACACGAAGATGACTACAGTTCACACTCGAAACTCTAATCTCCATTTGACCAACTACATACTTATAGCCTAGTAACACTCTTACGTTTGAAACGATGGGTGCTGGGTCCAAGTCCTGATGGGAACATCACTCACCACTGGGGATGCAGGTACATACAGCTGACGAGTCTCTAACAGGTTGGTATGTACATCCTAGATCTCACTGCTAGCTGCCATCAACCACATAGCATGGATAGTCCTTGTAATAACCTAATATTATATGACAATAACTAAGACAATTGGGACTGTACAACACTGAATAACATATCTTCATTTAGTTTTGTTCACATAATGGAGGCCGTAAAACGATTATTTTGACTATCCATACAACCAGAGATTGGATTCAGTTATCGTTATTACTGTTAGATTAATATGCGAATTGGAGGCAATCGACAGGAAGCCTTTGACCTAAGTTTCGTGCTTCTTGGTAATCGTTAGCAAGGCGTATTTGCAACTCTGAAAGAGATCGAACATGTCCCCTCTGAGATTGTTTTTACCTATATTTATTACGAGTATTCGTAACCTTATTTCAGCCTGCTGTTAACCATTACTTGAAATTTTGGTATCTTAACTGTCAGTAGCGTTACTTACATTTGACCCTTTCAGTATTTTCACACTTTTCTAGAAATTGTATAACAAACAGGTTTACTGAATGAAGAATTTGAAGATGTTAAATATCGTTCGACGTTGTATTTCTTTTTGCCTTCCAACAGTACACTAGAACTCATAATATACCAGTTACGTTAATCAGTGCATATAGAGATGTAAATTCTTTCTCAAAACCTGAAAGTTTGTCACGCTTTACTATATATATATATATATATGTGTGTATTAACCCCGTATTTTAACGACTCAAAAAATTGTCATGTTATACAATATCTCCCAACAGTTTTGTATACCTGTGGTGAGAGCAGGCTTCTAGCCAATTGATAGAAATTAATCTACATCAATGTCTAGGTCACTAATATCGGCCGTGAAAAAATATGAACAAGGCTGATTCAACAACCAATCACAGCAAATATGATTCGCAGATGGATGGCTCCACTTTTCGCTGATTACCCGAAACAACCAATCAGAAGACTGCGTTTGTCTACTTGCATAAGCTATAATAATGTACGGGAAAAATACATATAAATACGTGTCGATTTCCGTAATAAAACGATCTGTTGCCGGCCCTTATCTTCTGTTGTTACATACCGACTAGAATTTTTTTTCAAAAAATAAGGAGAATTACGTGGCAAATACGCTGAGTGAGAGAGAGAAAGAGATAGCTGCATACCTAACAACAAAAGTTGAATATCAGCAAAATCACGATACAATTTAGGAATTCATCAGTTGCTATCACCCTTAAACACTTTACGACAACCAATATTTTCCAAAGTGAATTAAGTAAAAAAGGCAAAATTTCATTTCATACATAATTTAGATGTCTTTGTAATAAAAGTGAAATGAAATCACTTGCTTTCTTAACACTGAAATATTCAAATACCATTAAGAAACATAAAGAGATTGAAAATAAAGTTATTAGATTGTCATACCATAAAATCACGTTTGTGCTAAGTATTTACAGACAACAATAACAACACCAACAACAAAAAAAAGAAATACTGCAAAGTAGGAGAGAGAAGCTAACGCAACAAATCATTCATCATAAACGCTTGTGTGTCATATGGTTCAGCGGTGATTTGTCTTCCAGCGAAATAACGTTTGTTCAGTGCATTTGCAGCATTGTGTACGGAAGCCAAGTCAGAGAACACGACAAATATATTGACAAAGTCTTCGTTTGTTTCACGAATTCTATCCTGGTGAATTAATACCTTCTGAACCGACCCGTATTTAGAACATTCACCTGCCACCTCACCCTCCAACTCATCGTCACAATCCTCTGGACCGACCATATTTCTCAGGATTAAAACACTACAAATGATTGCATCACAATAATTAGTTAGATAAAGTACTGATTATTACTATTATGAAGTGTAAAACGCTTACCATCCAAAAGATGCTTAACAATATAATGGTTTCCTATTTGGACGACTCTCGTGAATACCATCAACTGAAATATTCAAGTTACTACTAGTCAGTTATAACTCAGTTAACTGGCATCGGGCTATGAGCTACTACAGTCATTGTGTGAGGGCTTATGATACCACCCAGATGTTCATGCTGAAGTAGGAGGTGGAGGAAGATTTGAATCTGGAACCCGTCGGCTGAGAATTAAGTAGTTAAGCCTGTTCGCCACGGTTCAACATACTACTAATTAACAACAACTTGTTACTGTTGGACGATAGCACACCTGTAGTTCAGTCAAAATTGGTATCACTACAATAAAATATCGATTGCATGAAAATACAGTATAGACAGACAGACATATCTCATAATGGATCTGAATGGATGAGTAAGCAATAATTCGAATAAAATAACACAAGGTAAGCTCACATTCTTTTAACTGTTCTTCTGATTCAAACTTTGTGAATCAGTATGACTTAAGTGTTTCGGGAATCATAGAGTGCTTGAGACAGGAAACAATAACAATCTGATGGAGTATGTGATTTTCAAAAAATAATACCTATGTTAGTTAGTAGGGATTTGATTGTTTACAGGCCTGATCACTAGTTGAAGTCAGTTATAGAATCCATATGCGAGTAACTGATCTCCTACCTGACTTGGTGTTCTGATAAGATGTCGTAACCAGCCGGGTCCCAACCAAATCAAGTAAGAGATCAGTTACTACAAGCCTATGACACCAGCGAACGGTTGCACTATACGTCGTCAACTGACAGAAGCTGGAATTCATGAACTGGCGACTGAATCGGATGCTAGTGGCTGGATGGTCTACGAGCTCGCCTTGTAACTGGAAGGTCCTGGGTCCAAATCCCAGCGAATGAGTACTGAAGAGGAGTCCCAAACTAGGACGAAACAGGCGTCAAGTACTTCCAGGTTTTCTCCCTAACTGATATCAACTCCTGTTTAAATTTCAGATACCTGTTATTTCCGGATGACATCTTAAATGTGTTTCTTTTTTTTAAATTGATAATAACTAAATGACATCCTACCTTCAAAAATGAAGTGCTCGATAGTGTACAGGTCAAGAAACCGTTACTTCACAAATCACCATAGAAGTTGAAAGTCACTAGTGATTTCACTTTTTCTATCTTGGTGTATGCAGTAATTAAGGTCGCTACAGACTAAATGTAGGATCCCTATTAGTTTCAAACATTTTGCACTTTTATAATCCTTCCACTTTCCGCGGAGTGGAATTTATGACGTTGCTTATCAGAAGACTATACTTTGACCATGTGGTGAGAGCTGGCTGTTAGTCAAAACTGGTGGACAGTAATTTACATCCATGTTTATGTCCCAAATATTGGTCGTGAGAAAAATGAGAAGAAAGGCTTTGCGCAGGCGGATACAGTTAACATATAGATGATCTGACATTCAAGAAACAGCCACAAAGAGATGCAAGGTTAACTTTCTGTGAGAAATAACCAATCAGAAAACTGTGTTTTTCTGCTAACAATAACCTACAATAATGTACATGAAAATCTATAAATATGTGTTGATTTCCATAATAAACGATCTGTTGCCTGGCCCTTGTCTTCTGCTGTTACACTACTATAAAAAAACTGTCTGTATTCTGAGACGCCATGTCAAGTCTGTCAACCAATATGACACTTCAGTTGGTTAAAAGTATTTTATCTAATAAAAATCATACTTTATTATGATAAGAAGAAATGAACCTATAGATCCCCTTTATCAGAATAAAACGGTTCAAAACGAGAAATAAATCCACTTAGCTAAAGCGGCATGACACTGCGACTGTATTGTGACTTTGACACATATTATGTGATGGATAAAAATGTTCTCAGTGCAAGTATCTGTTCATGCTTACCCGCCTGGAAAATAAGTTGAATACTCAGAGGATGATGCAGGGGTGACTGAATTTGATGGAAAACCAACTGGAGATGCGGCTGGAGGTGGTGCATGCGAGTATTCTTCAGGTACTTCGGACTGCCAAGAACCCATAGAATTGGAGTTAGTACTTTCATTGAAATTATTCACTTGGGAGTACGGTACACCAGATTCAACTGTTAAAATTTGAAGAAAAAAAATATTTGATAAGATTGTATCGTAAAATAAACTCTAAATGAAGTTTAAAAGTTGGGGAGTAGTAGATAGAAAGATTTTTTTCCAATCACGTTTTAGGTATCTTATTATTAAAAATCGCTGAGTTAATGAATGGCATTCACTACTAATAACGGATGAAGAATTTCATATATTAAAACCACATAGAAATATAATGGTAATAATAAAGGAATAATTAAGTTCACAAAGAAATATACACACACGACCCTAAAATACAAGAATATAAGAATATATATTAGGGATGCTAATCCAAACACACGTTCATTACAGTTGATTCTTGTGCATACAAGTAATTATATTCGTGTCACCTCCTTCACCTACTAGTACAAATTTAGTAGATTACTGTATTTGCAATAGCATTCCAAGTGTATGCTTCAACAATTTAAACTAATTAGAGGCGGTACGGTGAATTCCACATCACGAATCAAGTGAGTGTGAGCTACAAACTTTTCTTAAATAAACGGTTTTTCTAATTATCTTAAGTTTTTGTAGGTAAACTTGACTACTTCTATGAGAGCAACCGATTGTAGAATCTTGGAAGTAACAATGAATAATTTATCTCTTGTATTTCCTCAGGGTTAAATTTTCATTCAAATCGAAGGATCCAGATGATGGTCCATATAGAGTGGTGAATTGCTTTCTCATTTATAAATTCCACATCCTATCGAATGTACCTTTCGATATGAAAGTGGGTTTACATTGGACAGTTGCACACCAATAACTGATATCATTCTTGGTTGAGATATACAATCCTATGTCTAAGCATCACACACAACACTTGGATTATCCCAGTAAGATACGTCATCCACATCTGGGGACTCAATCAGTTTTTTTCTCTGTTAGATTACGTTAAACACAAGAAGTCCACATAGCAGAAAGACGGACATTCTGGAGAAATAAATACACTCACAAGTTTGACTTAACACTGACAACTATGTGTGAACGATAACAAACAAAAGGATTGAGCATTTACATTTATCCACGAGTTTATTAATCATCTTTCCTGGTGACCTTGGACGTCACTGGTTGTTTTTGTGTGTTCTCACACCCTCTAGAGTGCAGGCACCTATGATCACAGACAGCTAGCCAACCTTTTCCTGTCTTCCACTCTAAATGGCCAGGTCTCACAGCCATAAAAGAGGACGAAGCGGACTGATGAGCAGTACACCCGCCCTTTGGTCGATAGCCGGATATCACGTCTCCGCCACAGACGGTGTAAACTGGCATATGCGAAACGAGCCCTCTGTATCCGTGCTGAGATTTCGTCAGAGATCAACCCGTTGGGGTTTATGGTACTTCTCAAATAAGTGAAGCGGTCAACATGCTCTACCACTTCACTCCCTGTTTCTAAACTAGGAGTCAGAGTAGTCCAGTTCTGTAACATCATCTTGCATTTGGCGGGAGCGAATCGCATGCCAAACATTCGTAAATTGCAGCTCAAGGTGTTCACAAGACTCTGCATTCTGTCAGCGTCCTCGCCTAGGAGGACTATATCGTCTGCATATTCTAAGTCAACGAGATTATTCCCTGATAGCAAGTAGATCCCTGAGTCGCTGAAGTCACTTAGGGTTAAGTCCATTAATACATCTATGATGAAGTTGAATAGAAGTGGGAATAATGGGCATCCTTGACGGACACCCCTAGTCGTCACCAGTTCAGATGACAACTCGCCGTAAGCCCTCACCTGGCTGCCTGAGTTCGAGTAGAGTGCATTGATCAGTGCAATGTATTTTCTCGACATTCCCTTTACAACCTAACATCGCTAGAGTACCAAGGGGGACGTTCCCTTCGTCTTCGTATTCACGAACATAAGCTAGCCGTCAAAAGACATGATATCCACTCCTGCGCTCATATCACTACATACAGACAGCCACGGACATCAATTCAACTGGGACAACGTTCGAATATTTGACAAAAGAAACAACAGGAATGCTAGAGAATTTTTAGAAGTTTGGCACTCCGGTGAATTATCAATCAATAGACACATCGAGATAGACAAAATTTACCAACCGATAAGAAAGAAACCTCACACACAAAGGGTCAAAGTTCAAGTCAAAGAAACAATCAGTTCCAATACACCTTGTAGGCTAGAAGGTGTGAAAACACACAAAAACAACCAATCACGTCCAAGGTCACCAAGAGAGATGATTAATAAACTCGTGGAGGAATCTAAAACCTCACTTTAAATTGAAGTATGCGCTGAAGATGTCGCCTATTATTTTTAACACACTGATGAATAGGATTATGGCGCATGAATTCTTATCTATATGCTTAGAATTATTTCATGTAATATTTCATATATAAGCACACTGAACACACACTCTAACGGTTGACAACAAACTCTTGGTCAACAGAACTTACCCAGTGAAAAGATCACTTTTCAAATGATACTACAGTAAAAAGGTTAACGACTAGTCTGCAGACTTCACACATATGCCGTCCATAATGAGTGCAATCATTACAGAAGTTAATATAAGGAAAAGGTGACATACTATACAATCATTTATCCGCCAGCTAAAACCAGTCTTCATTTATGCATGACAACCCATTTCAAGTTGCAATTCAAGCAACAACAAAAAACATATCTTACAGCTGGTGCTAACTCTATGAAAACAAAGCACGTAGATCAGCGAAGAGTCTCTTTTCAGCGAATTCATCTTCATAGCTGTACAATCGCAAATATATATGGTTGTTTTGTATGTGTACACACATACATTAAGTTTGTCAAACAAAAATACAATTGATTATGGTTATTTTAACTAAACAGGTGAAGATTGATTGTTGGAGTTACGTAATACAAAATCAGTCAAGAAAAAAATTTAATTAAATCGCTTGCCACCCGCATCCGACGTAGCAGTAGTCCCAACGTTCTGGAAACAGAATTAGATATTCTAGGAGAAATCTTCATCCAAAATGGATACCCAGTAAGATCTATCGACAAAAATATCAAATCGAGAATTCGGAGAAACGAAACTTTAATTGCGCCTAAAAAGAAACTCTACATGAACTTGGATTTCAAGGGAGATTTGACAAGGGATATTCCCAAGAGAAGGATCACATTATCTCTGAGAAGAACATTCTTTGCAGCAACACTAAGAATAGTGTTCTCCAGTCGCCCACTGATCTGCAGAAGCCTCAAGGATAAGATCCCGCATCTGACAACTGCGTGCATATATCAGTTCACCTGCTGCTGTAGAGCCAGGTACATCGGTCGTTTGACGCGCACCCTGTCCAAGAGGATTCAAGAACATTATCCAGCATGGTTGCGAAAAGGCAATAGTCGGGCAATAAGGAGTGCGATAATTGAACACCTGGTTAACACTGATCATTACATCTTAACAAACGCCTCCTTCAAAGTAATCTACAGAGTCAAGAATAACCCACCAAAGGCAATACGGTTTCGTCTTCTTTCTATCGCTGAAGCTCGGCCATTCACATAGAAAAACCAGAGCGGTGCATGCAAAAGAGAATTACTCAACCAATTCTACTGTCATGATAACAACTTTTTTTGATTTTGATGACTTCATTTTGTTTGTTTGCCTGTTCTTTAATTGCTTAGAATCCTTGCATTCATTTAGGACTCTTACGTAATTTCAGATTCTCTACTTTGTTCCTATGTGTATCCTAAGTAAAACTCAATCATCAAACTATTCATATTATCACGTATCTTCTTTTTAACAACTGTTTATGACAACTCATCACCTTTGTTACTTACTACCCTAATTTCATTAACACCTAATTTTCTTGACTGATTTTGTATTACGTAACTCCAACAATCAATCTTCACCTGTTTAGTTAAAATAACCATAATCAATTGTATTTTTGTTTGACAAACTTAATGTATGTGTGTACACATACAAAACAACCATATATATTTGCGATTGTACAGCTATGAAGATGAATTCGCTGAAAAGAGACTCTTCGCTGATCTACGTGTTTTGTTTTCATTAGTGCCTGAATGGGGATTATCCATGAACTCTGTGAAAAACAAAATACATATTCTATACATATATATACCATTAAATCTACATCTGTATGTAGTCTAAAGTGTCCGGCCGATAACTGCCACCTTGTCGTGGTGGTCGGGCTTGAATACCGTAATGACCCAACATGTTAAACTGACTGGAACTATGTCCCTGCAGGTCCTACCATGTCAGGAAGGCTGTTTGGATAGCGGTTGAACTAAAAGCAGTTACCATGGGGTACATGAGCTCCAGTATCCAATCAGATCAAATGGCGTATGAACCCATATGGGTCACCAGCAACCATGGGAATGAAGCTCCTGACGCTGCTCCGCTGCCTTGCGGATTAGACTCCAAGTCAAAGGCTCGGGGGGGTCCCTTAATAAGACCACCTGCTTCGGTCTGGGTGCCCGGGCCGTATCTCAGCCCTCACACAATGAATGAAGCAACAAACAATCAATGAAACTTATCGCGTGCTATTACACGTGTTGCAATTTCCTTCTTTCTTCCCTTTCCGATGATAGTTAACCAATACTGTTTGAACTTGTTAAGCATGACTGTTTTCCTTCCAGATGAAGTTCTTTATGCGTTCTCTTTCTTTTTTTCTTCTGATCTATGTTGTTTTATTATTATTGTGTGGCGCATCCTTCTTGGTGCCATGTTGTACCAAGTTTTTATGCGTTTAAATAAATAAAATAAGTCTGAAGTGAATTTTTAAACCAAAAAAGAAATAAAGGAAAATCATTTAGAAACCATCTACCTAGTTAGAGCAGAATAAAAGATGAATTTACCATTTAATGAAGGTTGATCAAGAGGCGATTGGCCAGTCGTTGAGACCGGTGCAGGAGAACATATAGGTAGGGAATTATTATTAAGACTGGTAGGCTGAGGTGTTACTGTACTGGGAACGGCATTCAACACTACATTAGTGGTTGTTTCAGGTTGTTTAGAATAAGAATTGACAGGAAGCTACAATGAGAATAAAAGCATTAGTGAAAAACATGTTGACCAATGAAAATTTTTTAAATTCTACTCCATTACTAATAAATTACCTGTTCAGTCTCCATTGATAGAACTTTAGCAGTAGCTGAAGCCGCAGCCACAGCTGCTGCTGGTGGGAGATTAGAAGCATTAGCGTTTGAAATGCCGTCCGGAGGTGATATGGCTTTGCATACACGCAGAAGTTGACCGCCAAGATTGAACTGGTTCATACTGCCAACTGCATCAGCTGCGCTCTGTGTTGATTCGTATTCTATGTAACCAAATCCCCTATGACGTGTTGGTCTTATTGGATCAGGTTGAAGTCTGTAAGCAAATATTTATGTCAGTAAATTGTGACCTACTTGCAAAACACTATCTTTCCAAAAGCCTCAAACACTAACGAAACGTCATCTTCAGTGAGATCCAGATGTATGCCAGCAACATATATACGGTTGTGAAGGTTATTTTCGTTAATTAGGTCACTTATCACAGGTTCAGCATTCGTTAAGTTGCTTGGTCTTCCTACTTTAAGCTGTCTTCCTCCAAAACTAGCTCCGTTCATCTGATCAATAGCTAATTGGGCTGCTTCTGGATATTCGAACTCCAAAAATGCAAATCCCTTATGCTTTTGAGTGGAAGGATCCCAACTTAAATTTACGGACTTGATCGGACCAAATGGAGAGAAAACTTGTTTTAGACTGTCTTCTTTCACATCATATGCTATCGAACCAACATAGACACGATTTAAAAGTGCAACGGTTTGATTCTTCTTAATATTGTTCAACTGAAGGGATTGTTGAGATTGTGTCTGTCGTAAAAGCACGGAGCGAATACTTTGTTCCATTGCATATTTCTTAGCTTTCTCTATAGCAGCACGCTGAGATAACTCGAGATTGCAAAGTACAAATGGAGAACTTGGTTTACTGGCTCCAGGTCCATTGTAAACAGGTCCGTTCGCCTCGATCACAGTGGTCATAGTTAAAAGATTCAATGAAGGTAGAGAACTACCATTGTTTAACACGAACATTATATGAAGGTATACAGATGCTAGAGGGACATTACAAAAGAAAGTTAGCTATAATAATCAGGATTTTATTTGCAACAAATATTATTCTTTAAACAATGAACTAAAAAGAAACACATCATAATATTTGTCTTCCTAATGCCTAATTTGAATTTACCAAAGGAATTAATTGTTCTAACTATTCTTTGAGTCTGATAAGTAACAGTGGAGGTATGACAAACCACATGAACACCATTAAAAAATTTGCCTCCAAAGGACACTGGAGAGCTATTATAAAAGAACTTAATAAACGTCTTATGAGAAAACTATAATTAAATGGAGAAGTATTGTGGAAAAAGTTAGTGACCTTATAAACAGCTAATTCAATACCATTTTCTAGCTTAAGTACTAGCTTACAGCCAGCGATGCACTTTTAGGATGTGATATGTGAATGATAGTTTTCTACACTTTTTCCAATGGTTTTGTAAGATCTTGCCACGTAAGTAACATTTACTAAACATCTTAATATACATCCATTTTGTTACTGAAATAAACTCACATAAGCTATTCACGTTAATACTTCAAATTTAAAGTACTGCTGTAGAAACAAAGCGAAGTCCGATCACACAATCTCTTGTAGCTAAACAAAAAATCTATGAATATCGTCCACATTCGGAAAGCAACTAAACAGTCCACCTTTTTTGTCGAGATGTGGATTATATCTCACCTTTTCACTTTGACATTGCGATGAGAAAACAAAATAATGAATCACTACCGACTTCTAGGTAAGTTAACAATAAAATCTATTTCATTAGATTTTCAGGATCACGTAAAATACCCAGCTCAACCAACTATTTTAGCAATTTTGTTCGTTGTCTAACCGACTGAATATCTAAAAAAAGTAAGAATGATTCATGCAGAATAAGATGGCACCATCATCCATTTCGTCGGCTTCTTGTTCTTGCTTTATCCAAATTTATAAAGCGCGATAAGTATGTAAATTGATTGAATATCTCATAGAAATACTTAAGATGATCAAACATTTCAACTTCTCCGGCCTACATAATGGAATAAGTCAGTGAATGATACAGTTACGAAATCTTTTGCGTGACTGAGTTCGACTGTAGAACTTTGCACAGAAGTGAAGTAGTTCAAGTTGCCACACCCGAGAAAAAAATTCGAAAGAACAGAAATGTACGACAAAAAAGTGAAACGGAGAAGGATTAGGACCTAACAGATCAGCGACTGAAAACAGTGAATACTTCGAACCAAGTCACCAACGGTCTCAAGCTACTAGTTCTAAGCATCCCGAGAGCCGATATCACATACTGAAAATGCCATACCTGTACCGAAATACCAAAACGTGAAGTGGTAGAGCACGTTGACAGCTTCACATATCTGGGAGGTACCATTAGCCCGTGCCAACGGGTTGATCTCTGACGAAATCTCAGCACGAATTCAGAGGGCTAGTTACGTATATGCTAGTTTACGCCGACTATGGCGTAGACTTGATATCCGGCTATCGACCAAAGGGCGGGTGTACTGCTCATCAGTCCGCTTCGTCCTCCTTTATAGCTGTGAGACCTGGCCATTGGGAGTAGAAGACATGAAAAGATTAGCTGTCTTTGATCATAGGTGCCTGCGCTCTGTGTCCCGTGTGGTATAATAAGGCGAGCAATATTGAGATTACGTATCGGTCAAGTGGTAGGTAAGGAGGGGAAATCAATCGACGAGGTTGTGAAGTTACATCGACTGAGATGGTTAGGGCATGTGTTACGTATGCCTAGCCACCGCCTTCCTCGATCTATGGGCAATGTTAGCTGACATAAGAATGGTCAGGCTGGAAAAGAGCGGTCAAACCAAAACATGGCATCAGTCAACGAAGTCCGTAGCAGTTAGTTTAAGCCAACCACGTAGGAGGGTGTAGACTTCCTTACTGGTTGGCGTCCTCGGGACGGTAAAAACCAGTGGTTGGAAACAATTGGTGATATGGCTCAAAATCGTTCTCAATGGCTAGCGCAGATGCATCCACTCCTTGTGACTTATGACTTCCAATGAAACTATACCGTTCTTTGTTATTACTATTCCTTTGTCTCACACCTCTGTTTACTGTCTCTAGTATGCATTTCTTCTACTCTCTTATCTTGCTTTGTGTGCTACATGGTCTGGTGACTCGAATTGCCGTATATCGATGCAAAGTTCTATGTCGAAAATGGACAGACAAAATACTCTGTAGAATCATGCTATAATAAAATGAAATAATAAAAATAACTAAGTAGTCTATACCTCCGTACATAGCTCGAACCAAAAGTCAACAGTTTCATGGATAGATCACACATATTATCTGACCATACTACTAACTCTTTTTCAACTTAATCCTATGTCAGCTAACACTGCTAAACGAGGAAGGTGATAAGTCGAAATGCGTAACACCTATCATTACCCTATCAATCAATGCAGCCTCACGACATCATCAGCCGGTTTACCCTCTGCAGCTAACACTACGCCTGAACGCAGTGTTACTCACCATAGTACACCACCTAGCACGGGAAACACAACATAAAAACCTGTGGTCAAAGACAGCTAGCCTCCTCATGTCTTCCACCTTCGATAATCATGTCTCACAGTCACAAAGAAGGACACGGTGAACTGTTGCACAGTACACACATACTTTGATTGGTAGCCGGGTGTCACATCTACTCCAGAGATGACGTAAGTTGTTGACAAGTGCCAAGCAAACCTTTCGTATCCGTGTTGAGACTTCGTCCGTAAACATTAGGGCTGATGCAACCTCCCAGATAAGTGAATTGACCAACACGCCCAATCACTTCATTCCCTATCTTTCAGTTAGGAGTCGGCGTAGTTCAGTCACGCAATGTTATCTTACACTTTATATGGGCAAATCTCATGCCAAACATTCAAAGATTTCCCCTCAGTATTTAGGAGACTCTACGGTTCGTCAGCGTCTTCACTTAGGATTCAACAAGGATGTTCCTATGTAACAAGTAATCCCCCAAGTCGCTAAAATCAGTTGAGGAGGTCAATGCCATTAGTACATATATGATGAAATCGAGACAAATTGGGACGATGCACACCTCTGATAAACACCACTTGTCGTCATAACTCCGGATGACAGCACTCCACAAACTCTTGCGCAGATGTATTAGTTCGAGCAGAGTGCCATGATTATTTCAATATACTTTTTCCCCACTCCACAACCACACGTTACCACGGCAACCCCAAGTCGACGGAGACGAATTCCACCTAGACGTGGAGAAATGTGGCCAGTTTTGGACGCCGGTAAGTATGTCTGTCTTCCAGAATCTGTTGAAGGATGTCTATACGATGAATACGCCCTCTCTTTGGCCTAAAGCCATTCTGGTTTTATCACATTTGTTTCACGAAAGCAACACAGCCTACGCACGGTCATTCAACCTAGAACCTAAGACGCTATGCTAGTAACCTAAGCCCCCCTCTGAATACCACACGAAGACTTGTCGCCCATTTCACAAACTCAATTCTTTGCACCAGTTTGACGGAGCTATCCCTGATCCCTAGACATCACCTAACACCTCAGCTAACCAAAACAACAGTTTGTTACCAGTGTCCTTAAACACATGTAGAGTTATTCCACCAGGTCCTGTCTTGTCTCGTTTCATATTAAAAGCAGCCTTTGTAAACTTAGTTACAGATAGGGGACCGATATCAACATCCCATTCAGATACTTGGTGTTGGATGCTGGGCAGACTGCCTGTAAGCCACTTAGACTGCTCCTCAAAATCTTCCTTACAATATTCCAGTGGTCCGTTCTAAAAGCTAATTATGGTGCCGCTTCTCTCGGAGACTTTCTCACTTATCATTTACCGTCTGCAACCAGTTTCCCTAATAAGCCTAAATGCCTCTGTGACATTGTGTATCCCCGAAGCCTCTTCCATCTCATTCTCTTTTGTCGTCCACCACTGTTGGCGGTTGTTGTGGTCAGCTTGCTTTTCAGCAGCTTTCGCTCCTTATCAAGTTAGGAGCCCAAAGGAATCAGTCCTTCCACATCAGTTAGTTCGGATAAATCTGCAGAAATCTCTTGACATTTCATAACTTATGGTCTTACGTTATCTAAAGCCTTTACTACTAGTTTTACAGTCTTCCTCAAGATGAGTCTGTTTCTCGATATCAGATATGCGTTTACTTATTGGTTACCTGCGTAAACTTTGAGTTCTCATCAAATCAGAAGGAGTAGGGTCTCTAAAGCTGCTTTTTTCTGTCGGTTCAGTTGTAGGTATATACATGTACGGAGTAGAGTGGTCCGTTTACACAAGCGTTCCAAAAAGGAGAGGAAGTCTTATGACGATCTCCATCTATAGCCTGTAGCTAGGAAATATAATGGAATTCACCATTGATTTGATGATACATAGTTTCTCCAAAAACTCCCTATTGACGACGTGATATAGTTGAGGGTAGGTGTGACGCAATCTGCACCTCGAAGGTCTCTTGAGAAAACCACCTGGTTAGTCTAGTTGTCTATGGAAAATCTCAGACCTCATATACTATACAAAGTTGCAATTCAACAAAAACTTCGATTCAACTACAACAATACTCAACTATTGATTTTCGTGTCCCTATAACATCTAATACTGTCGCATACGAACTTTTCATTTTTTTTCCATTGTTATTTTTATTCTGATCTTCATCTTAACCTATACTGCTGTGGTTCATAAGACTAGGTGCTAGATTTCAACGAAGGAATTACAGGTTTGGAACCTACTACACCTGGCAATACTTGTGCCACCAGGTAGTAACACAATTCCTCACATACTAGGTCTGACTCATTGCCTAATATATGAGCATATAAGTATTTGTCACCCAGCTGCTCATCATTCTTTGAAATGTTGGTACACCTATACCGTTGCGAGTCACTTAACAATTGTTTTCATAAAGTGATACTAGTCATCTTGTCTCGTTTAGGTTTTCCACTCACAAAATCCACGTCTTAATGCAAGTCGGCACACACAACTTGGGAAAGAACCCTTATGTGGATGTCAGAAGCATCTCAGAGACCCGTATTCAAAAGTTCAGTGAAACACTTAGAAATTCTCCGACTGTTAAGTGAAAGTTGTTTTCAACTATGCGTGGATCATTACAATCTTCAACTAGTACCGACCTACGATACACCTATCACCTTTATGCTATTCAGCCTTCTCCGTAGACACAAATAAACCAAATTGCAATCAGCCAACAAACATAAGTACATACAACACTGGAGTTCTTTCTCTAATACTTTTCTCGACTCGGATAAGTGCGTCATTGATAGTTAAATTAACCGTTTTAGTGGTAACCACAATCGTCATTCTAAATAAACTGATATAAGAAAACCAGATTTATCTACCTTTCCAACTAAATATTAAACCAAGGTACATTCGTTAGTAGCTACTAATCTTCCAAAAAGATAGTATTTGCAAACGTCTAAGCACGTCGCAAATAAAGACGTTCACGATTTAGAACAGCCCACTGGCAAATACTTAATTTCCGGGAATTCTTTGTTGCTTCATGCTTTTTGTCGGTTAGATCTAGTGGGCAGCGAGTATAGTAATGAGTAAGGATGTTACACATAAAATCAAATGACAACTACGTCTAGACCACAAAGTCCAGTAATTACAATGTACGAATGACATAGAAGCAACGTCTACATCTAAAAACAGTTAGAAGCTTTATCCGTTTATTCAGACGAAAGACAACAATCCTGATGTCGGTGGGGCGGTCCGGTAAGGCAGACAGTAGGACAGTTCATAGCGTCCATTAATAATTGGAGTACTTTGCAAAAATGGTTTAGCTGACTTAGTGCCAGTGTTCTCTGATCTATTTAATATTACTTTATAGTCAGTTGACGCAGGCCTGGCAAACGAATAGAGAAAATGAGACTCTAAATACTGTTCCATAGGGAGGTCTTTGTGGTAGTACGTTGACGGCAGAATCAAAATACGATCACATTTTGCCAAAATTTATTAGATGCGGGTGAAGTCAACAAACGTTATATTTAGTGTTATATGTTTAGAGACAATCGACA